CCACCACCATCACCACCACCACCACCAGCGCTACCAGCACTACTACCGGGCGGACTATTGAATTTGAGTGGCCAGTTTTATGTTCTCCATTCACATAGACATTTTCTTGATAGCAAATCCATTGGCGTGAAATCCATTGCGTGAAATATGCACCGAATTCGCCGGCTGTCGGCCATGACGCTAACGCTGCACTTTGTATTTTTGTCATATTTTTGATCCCCCTGCTTTTTCTTTCTTACCACCCCATCAACACAGGTCCATACATTGAAAAAAACATGCTGCGGCTGGCCCACTGCGCTTAGGCGTTTCCCTCTCGTTTCCACTAGCAAAGTAAAAAAGCACGCTGTGGGTGGCTAGTTGTACTTCAGCGCCAACCAAAGAACAAATTGTCGATTGAAGGTTTTCTTTCGAAAAACTGTTGTTTGAATCCTAACTAAACTCATAATATGGGACTTCCTCTGCGAGCAAAAGAACACAGTATAACTGAAGTTATCTGCATTCAGGAGACATGATTGAATAGCAATATCGTTTCGCAACTTATGTTTCCTCCGTCCTTCTGTTGTTATCAGCAAGATAAAAAGTCCTCATCAATCAGCAGAGTTGGGGGAGCGACTATATTTGTTAGCAACAGCTGGTGCTTGAATTGTGAGTCCTTATTTCCTTACTCTGATGCCCTGATCGTTGTTATCATCGTTATATGTATAATCCGTTATTTAGATAATTTTAAAGGAATTAAACTTCTTAGTATTTACATTCCCCCCTCCACCCGTGAAGACACCCTAGCTCGATTTTTGGACTTTATTTCACAAAAACAAGCTTTATTGTCCTGTGAACATCTCATTCACATATGCGGTGATTTAAATCATGTCAACTTTGACCGCATTAGGCTTTTAGGCTTTGATGACCTAGTTTACCTCAGTACTGGAGCGATGTCCTTCTTGACCACATTTTGAATGATCATCCTAGGTTTTTTCATGTTAAAAACAGAGCTCAGCTGTCCGGCTCCGATTACTCCGTGCTATTAGGCCTCCCGGAAGTCCATTTCGCTTCCAAGCGTCAACTGTTAATTAGACCTGAGAGGAAATCTTCTGCTCGCAACACGTCTGCAGAAAAAATCCCTCTGCTTAGGAATTCTATAATAAGTAGAATCCCAGTGTTTCTTAAACTACACAGTGTCAAATTGTGTTATAGTTACCTTACGATAGGTTTCGATGAAGCCTTTAATATTTCTTCTCCTCTCAAAACTGCCATGGTTAAAACTGACAGTCTCCTCTCCATATCTCAAGTTTCTGAGACGTTTTAAG